GGAAATAGGTCTGCTGAGTTCACTGTTTCATTGAATATCTGCATGCACTTTCAGGGAAATAGGTCTGCTGAGTTCACTGTTTCATTGAATATCTGCATGCACTTTCAGGGAAATATTCTGGCAGCCAATAGTTTTCATCACATTTGTCTGCCACTTGACCAGTCCTCCTCTGGGCTGAACAGTGTAGCATTGGGTTCTTATGAGTTTTGGGTTTTCTCCCTGTCACTGTCTGTCATGTGGAATCTCCAAAGGATTATGTTTCAAAATCCCAGCAAGCAAACACCATCTTGCCTCCCCCCCAGCCGCAGACACCTTCCTACATAGACCCTTGTTCATCTGCAGGGAAACTAGTACTATTTTCCTTCCCTATAAGGACTGGAGAAATAGCTCTTCCCACCACCGAGTTTACCCATTGGAGGTGCTGAAGCTGGAGGCATTGTTCTGGGAGAGGAAACCTTGCAAGGCATCCACCGTGCTTGCTTCTTGGGTGGGAAAGGATGGCTCCAGTGCCCGGCCTCTGGACCTGACTCTCCCACCGGACACAGCCCGTGAAGTCCGTGCCGGCTGCTTTGGCTCAGCAATGGGACGGGCATCTGACTCGACACCAAAACCTGGCTCTGGTGCTGGTGTTGCCATGTTGCCAGTGGGGCTGGCAGGCGGTGCTGGAGTGCGCAGGGGGGAGCCTGCAGGAGAGGTGGGACCTTGTCCAACAGGGAGACAAAACAAAGAGCAGGGAGAGAGGAGCAGAAGTCTCTTGTCTTGGGTTTGTTTATTTCAAATCCCACTTGGTGCCAACGCTTGCCAGGAAGGTTTGTAATAGTGAGTCTTTTATTTTCATGTCACTTGTTTTTAAGAGGGAACCCAGATGAAAATTAAAGCAGCAAAGCTCTCTGCCTATGTTATGGTCAAGTAAAATAACTAAAACTCAGTCTTATTGCCATGACAAAAATGCTGAGAAATACATCTGCTTTGGGTATAAGTAAATTCATGGAGCTCCTTACTAACCAAAGGCTGCATAAGTACAACTAAATATATACCTGAGGAGCAATAGTCACATTTAGAGACAAATGTGTTCCTCTGCTTAGACAACATTGCTAATTGCACTTCCTTATCTTCAAAAGCTGGAATTTTAGGTAAAGTATGTTTTACGTTCGGCTTTGCATTGAATCATAAGATCTGGCAGCCCTGTTTAACTTGCCGGTACCCTCCTTGGAACTGGCTCCATCACTTCAAGTGCTGGCCCATGCCCTCACTTCAAGGAGCTCAGCAGAGCCGTCACTGGTCTCCTTGGTGGCCACAGGAGTTAAAACAGGTCCCCCCAGCTTGTTTGGGTCACTTGTGTCGAATGCTTGCCCATAATAAGCTGTAAAACTACTCTGCAGGAAGCCAACCCATACCTTTGCTCGCCGTTCCTGTGGGGTGTGTGTCATCTGGTCCCTGCGAGGGCACAGGGGCTGCGGCGTCGGGCTTCTTGCTACTGCCAGCAAGCGTCTTGTTTTGCCCCCCCTGAGCCACGATGGCAGATTCAATCTTTGCCCAGTAAACAAAGTATGACTGGACTATGGAGATGCTGTTAAAACATAATTAGGCAAGAATTTATTTGCTCTGTAGCATTAATAAAACACAAAGACTGCTTTAATCTGAAGAGAGAACGGATGCAAAAGTATTTTAAAGGATTAGCCTGTCATACATTTTCTATTACAAATGAAAGATACCTGGTCTCATAAGAAAGATTCGGGGTGAAGAATCACCACCCCTAATTAAGATCAGCCAAAAATGTGTGGGAACTTAAATAAAAAGAAATAAGAAAAGCTCTATTACATTCACCATGTTAATAGAAGTACATTTGTAAAACTTGGACTAGCTCATCTTATAATCTTCCGTAGGCAGGGAAACAACAGTGGTATTTACTAATTAAAACAAGTCAATGTAACTTGTACAAACAGCAGAATAGGTAAGGGCAAAAAACGTCTCTCTTCTCAGTCCTCTGATATTTGAGCCTGCCTAATCCTCTGCTTTTTGTCAGGTGCCAAAACTGCATTGGCCAACCTTTAACTGTTCACCCAGAGAGCCTTATTTAAGCTGGAGATTTTGGGAGAATTTCAGCTTAGATTGCTCAGCTGCTTCTGAGAGTTAGCTAAGGGGAAACCAGTTTGGGTTTTCCTGTGGCAGATGATTCTTACAAGGTATTTTTAAGCCTAACAAGGAGTTTTTCCAGATGCTGTGTTAGGGCAAAAAGGGAGAAGCTATCAGAAGTCATCTTGGAGGGTCAAAAGCCAGAGGGCAAAGGAAATATCAGAGCAGATGTCTAGGACTAGGTATTGTTGGGTATTGTTTGAGTTTATTTGGTTGCTTGAGCTTTATGTGGCTTAAATAGTATTTTCTGATTTAAAACAATGGCCAAAAATTGGAAATTCCAAGCAGCAATATTTCTGTTTCAATGAATTTGTGTTGAATCACGATGAGGTGCACAAGCCACAGCACTCACCAGGATGCTTATGTTTTGGGAAGAAGCCAAGGATCTGGCCAAGCAGCTTCTAAGTGGTTTTGTAAAGTCAAAAAATAACAATTTAATCTCTTTCAAAATGAAAAGCTGCTGTGCTTCCTCTAAGACAGTCAGTTAGAAGACTTTTTATTTCGTTCCAAATCAGAACCAAACTGCTTGAAGAGTTTGGGACATTGGTACAAAACAGAGACATCAAGTTTTAACACAGTGCTTGCTCTCTTTTTAATGTGAATAGTTCTATTTACATTTTACTTTTTTTAAAACTACTAATTTTTAATTATTTTTTAAGAGGTTGTATACAAGATTATCCTGTGGGAAGTCCTATGGGTTGTGTTATTTACAAAGACAGGCAATATAATCACAGTTCTGTCTTTATGCCTTAATATTTCTATTTCCTAAATACCCAGGCTGTCATCTTCCAGTGTATTTGTTCTGAGAAAATAGTGACCATGTAAATAAAAAGCAGCACTACCTAGCAGACATTAATGGTGATTTACGTGCCAGCTGGGATACTGTTGCACCATTTGGTAAGTATTTAGCTGTATTGGGTTCAAGATACATAAACAACTTTACTGGACAAGTATGATGGAAAAATAAAGCCAAGCCTTTAAACTGAGAGGACACAAATTCTGGTTAGGAACCAGCACATCCTTACAAAAACTTGACGTCTCCAATGGGTTGGTCTGGTGCTTTCCATACAAAGGACAGGTTTCTTTTCAGTGACTTGTCTGAGTGGGTAACAGTGTCCCCATCTTCAAAACAAGTCAGCAGCTTCGAACCAGGAGGCATGAAGATGAATGTGCCAGCGATTTCGTTGTTGGACACTTTGCGAGCTTGGAGCATAAAGCCCATATAATCCCGGGTGCTCCTCACTGTCACTGGAAGACAAAACATGGGACAGAAGGGATTTGTCTAACAGTTATGGAGTTAATTGTCTGCAATGGATTTTCCAGTGATAGCACTGAAACCAAAAGAAAACCTTGGGCAACAACACTGAAAACACCTCAGGACCAGTGATGATGGGACCAGGACTGCTGCCAACTCTGCCTAAGAGTCAGGTGAGTCACCCAGACAGCTTTGTGTGGTGCAGAGGAGCAGTGAAGGTGACTTCACCCTCTGGAAGTGCCTCTCGTGCCATTGCACGTAATGAGGTCTGGTATGGTTAAGACACAATTGAGATAAATAAATCCCCTCCAGAGCACCCAAACCTACCAGCTGCCTCCAGCCAACAGTTGGTTTGCAACATGGTGAAAATCTGGAGTCAACCATCACCTGAGAAACCTTAGGCCAAGTGCTGCAAACAGAATTCCTCTGTAAATACATTCATTTCCTCATGACGAGAGAGGTGGTGTTGCTCACTCAGACCAGTTATCCCTCTTCCCTGACCTCACAAAGATTCATGCCATCACTTGAGATGAGTTATCATGTATTTTTCAGATGCAGGAAGCTGTTCCTTACCTGGAACCTTGTCACCTGGGAAGTAGAAGGACATGTTGGTGTGGACAGTGACGTAGTTGCTGTTGGGGCTGTGCAGCTGCACTCTGAGGTGCCTGGGCATCATGTCGGCGCAGGCAGAAAGGCTCGCGCCGTGTGAGAAGGCGGCTGTGCAGGAGACCAAGCACAGGGTGGTGCATGCCCAGCCAACAATGGCAGTGTGGGCTCTCCTGCCATCCTCCATCCTACAGCAGAAAACAATGTGGAGGTTCACTTCAAAGCAGTGGCTTCAGCAGCCTGTGAGCCCGTCTGGAGCCATTGATTTAGCTGATCTGCAGAACCACCGTTCCCACAGGGTTTAAACAAAGGAAAATAGATTGTCTTTGAGGCACCTGGAGACACTTTTGAATCCACAGTATTCACATTCTGAAGTAATTGTTGCGGCTGGAAGGGAAGAAGCCTCACAGGAGGATGTATTTCTTGTGAAGTTGCCCGTGGAGGGAGCAGTCAAGGAAGATTTACTCTGAAAAGTCTTATGGGCTTTAGGAGGAGGAGAAGGCTCTGTACGGCCACGCTCAGCACACAGCACCATTCACAGCCCAAACGTACAACCTGATCAATGGGGAAAACATCTCTCCTTAGACCTGCAGAGCTGCTGCAGACCTCCATTGCATGTGGGGCTGGTGCCCAGAGCAGAGCCTCTCCCTGCCTGCCATCTCAGAGCCATGTCCCCGCACTGACAGCATGCGGCTGCCCCTCACGCTGGGCTGGTTGTGACCATTGGACCCCTGTCTGGCCACCCAGCAGCATTTGGGCTTGTCCTTCTCAATCAGGGCTTGCTGTAGCTGACGACACAATAATGATGATGCTGTCTGTGAAGTCAGTTGGAACCCTGAGATAACTTGGTGGCAGTTTTGGCTATTACCAGGATTTCTCCTTATTCTCAGGTTTTTAATCCAAACTAGCATTTTTTTCTCGACACAGTTCAAGTTTAATATTTGGTATGCTGTGTCATCAGTACCTCACGGCTTTGGTGGCTGGCGTAAAACACATTTCCAGATTAACTAGAGTATTGTGTTATTCTGATTTTTCAAAATGCACTTTTGAAAGTGAAGCTGAAGGATGAGTGTGGGGTATTTGTTGTAATGGATATCGTAAGGCAGGTGGTTTAGATTTTAATATAGTGCTTTCTAACATGTTCTTTCCAACATGCAGCTTTTTGTGCCTTAGATTTCGTTACACTTAGTCAATAGATAGATGTAAATGAATCAGAGGAAACCAGAGGCTGAGGAGGTCTAGTTACACCTCCCTCTTTAGCACTTCTGAAACTTGCCAGCTGACTAACAAACCACCACAGCACATGAAATTGTTCGTGCCTGGACTGAAGCAGCAAGCAGTTTAACCTTCCATAGCCAAGCATCCTGCCACTCCAACCCGTTACATGCCAGAAGATGCTTGTGGGAGTCACAGGAGCCTTTGCTAACTATTCCAGCCCCTGTTGGACCAGCGGCAGGATGCTTCCTCCTCCCGGAGCCAGCCTGTCCTCCGGGCGCACATAAACCTCACTTGCTGGATAAGATTTCTCACAGGAGCTTATAGAAGTACCCCTGAGCTGCAGCTCTTTCCCTCCAGTGTTTCCCAGGCTGTGCCACCTTTCCCTATCCCACCCCCAGCTGCCCTCCTGTGCTCATCACAGCAGGGGAGCAATGCTCTGCTCCCCAGGGCTGCCCGGTGCCGCCATCGCTTACCTTGGGACACGAGCGCTGCCGGGCTCGCTGCCACTACTGCCCTCCCAGCCCGCTGGAGACCCGTCCTTTCAGAGATCTTCTCTCCCTCCTCTAATGGGAAGTGCAGCAGCTGTTACTCCTAATACCCACCACCCACAGCAGCTCTCTGCCAGTGCCCAAATCCTGCCTTAATCATATTAGTTTTTCCCTTCACATCCCACCCCCTTTTTTTTTTTTTTATAAATCTCCAAGCTTCTGCAATGAAAACAAAGGCAACTGAGGTGGGGGGGGGGCAAAGCAAGTTATGGGTTTTGTGTGGGACACCGCGGAACTCCTTTGGTTGGACTTTTGCTTCCCTGTTACCCTCCCCACACACATATCCCCCCTTCTGTGCTGAAGCAAAGCAAAGCCACATCAGCTCCCTCCATGACCCCAGGCAGTGTGCCCTGTCTCTCACGCTTACATGGGATTAATTTTGGCAGTAAAAGCAGATTTTTGCTAGAAAGGCTGGGAAGGCACATCCCATGCACCAGCCCTTGCAGAAGGAGCCATCAACACCCCACAGATCCACCAAAGCCGGCACAGGGGAGTAAACATCTGCTAGGTGTGACTGTCCCCCGACACAAGAGCTGTATTTAAGTCCAGGCTGTGAGCCTTGCTCCTTGCTTGAGCTACGCTGCACCTGTCCTGGCAGTCGACTGTGGAGCTGATCCTGTCCCTGGGCTTCCCAGCTCCTCCTCAGATCCACCTCATCACTGCAGACTGCTCTGGTGATCTGGTGATTGGGACTCCTGGCCAAACCCAGCCACTGTCACCAGGCCCACCTCACTCCCTGACAGTGGCTTATTGCTCGCAACAAATGGAAATTAGGGTCCAGTTCATCATCAGAGCTGCCATCAGGAGATGCTGAACAAACTGCTGGCAGCATGTGGCTCCAAGTAGAGCTGGATGAATGGAATAACAAACCCATCAGCTGTCTGCCCTTTCTTCAACCAACAGACCCTTAGGAGGCAGCATCAAGTGTCCCAGGGCCACTGGGAGGAGGGCTGGCCCTGTGATGCAAGAAAGTTATTTAAGATGGGTGAGCAAAGGAGTGCTTGGGGCCCTTTAGTCCTCCTCCTCCTCCTTGGATAAATATGTGTCTGATGGCTGAATGAGTTCATGCTGGTGATTGGGCCACTGTCCCAGAAAGACGCCACTGCTCTGTCCTGTGCCATGACTAAAGAGGATGCACCAACACACAGGCAACACCACTGGGTTTTGTTTCTGCAGCTCCAGCAGTGCCTTAAATTTAATCTTGAATACGGTCTGACCAGTGTGGGAGTCTGTCCAGAGTGGACATCCTGGTGACTGCCTAGGGCACTCCCCGGAAACTGGAGGCAAGCTTGCAGATGCCCCTCTTATTAGCACTTTTCCCATCAGCCTGCCCTGCTCTACAGCCTGTCCTTTGGAAGTGACACAAGACACTGGGCTGGCACTGAGCTACTGCTGCTGACAGCCCAGCTCTCAGCTGTTTAACTGGTTGGAAAATATGGGAACTGGTGGTACTGGCCTCTCGTTAGTCAGCTCTCCTCTGTGTTGGAAAGAGGCCTTAAAGTTACCAAAGAATTTCAAGATACAATGTAATTCTTGTAGTTTTCTTTCCTTTTGTCAGTGGAAGCAGAGTGTAGTTCAGGGAAGGGAGGAAAATTTGTTACTTCTGTTCTAGTTTGTAATTCTTCATATACAGAAGAGAATACCTTTATGCTGCATCAATGACTAATGCTGTCTTATGCTTTTCCTTACTAACCTATTCCTAGGCTAAACCATCCCTTGCTTATAACAAAGCAGTAGCTCCAGACCTCTGACAATTCGCAGGAGAAATGCCAAAGACATTACAGCCATTCTGGCACAGTGCTCAGGTCTGAAAACAGTATTCCATGTGAGTGTGGATCTTTGCATCATGGCACAGTGTTACAGCAATGCATTGTCTTCTTCAGCTGCTGCCCCGGATATGGCACACAATTTCTTTATGCCAACTCCAGTGAGAACCATTTCTCCACTGGCTTCCACCTGAAAAGAGGGGAAAAGCAGCAAAGAGCAGACACTGAAATAGCAGCGTTGGGTGTTCCCTGGGCTCCATGGGCAGAAGGGAGAAGAGGCTCAAAGAAATGAGGCCCAGATCCAACCCCTCTGTAACAGCACAGCATGCAGGGCAGTGCTGAACTGTCTCTGCTCACTTCCGAGGCTGCAGCAGCCTCTGGCAGGGCAGGATGTGCTGCCGTACGCAGCTTTAGCAGCACCAGTCAGCAGAGCTGCACAGCACTGCCTGGTTAATTGCTGGGCTGCTCTGAAACACAGTCCTATGCAGCATTCATCCTCACTGCCTGCTCTCAAGCAGAGGAACTCAGTGGCTTCAAAGCTGCTCTCAAACCAAATGTCAGAACCGTCTCCTGCTCAGGGATGGAAAAAGCCCGTCACAGTCATTACCGTGACACAGGCACCTACCAGCAGCCTCCAACTGCACGTTCAAATGCCAAGTGACAGGCAGATGTTTGCAGTAAGAAATACAGCCCTCTCAGAGCCTCTGGTTGCATCACCCACCAGGACAGCATTGCCTCAGCCTCCTCTGGCCAGAGCTTTGACCTGCAGGAGTCACTTGAGCTCAGCCGGGCTCTGCACATGACTCTGAGGATGGGGCCCAGACAGACCGCATGGCACTGCTGAAACTAGAGAGCTTTGCCTTTTTCCTGGCATAAATGTCTCTGTTAGTAGGAAGCTGGCAAGGAGAAGGGGACGTAAGACAACTTAACCCCTGCGTGTTGTTTTCTCAGCAGCATTTGTGTGATGGATTTCTAGAAATAAAAATAAAAAAAAGAAATCCACAGTTGGGAATTTAAAATAGCACTGGGGAAACAGTGCATGTTCTGTAATAGCTTGATGATTAAGATAGACTATAAAATATATAACTTGAAGTTTCACTGATGATATGCTCAGAAGGATTATAAACCTAGTAACATCCCAGGCTCTTTGACGCAGAATCTTTATCATTCTTGCAGATTGCTTCTGCATCTCCACATCTCCACATCACGGGGGCACAGCAGGGGTAGCAGATGTGGAGCAGGTGCAGTGGAGATGTGATATGGACATGGATGTAACCAAGCTGGTTGTTTGACAGGTTGAGAAATGCTTTGCTACTGCAAGATAATAATGGTTTTAAAAAGTTAGAAGTCCCTCCTGTTCAACTAGCGGCCACCTGAGTCCCGTGAACAAAGTTTGAGGGTGCTTAGAGAAGAATGGGCAAGTTGATCAAGTAGAGAGCTTGAAGGTGGCAACAGTTGGGTCCAGATCACAAGGAACTGATCATTAAACTAACAAAGTTGGCAGCACCACCTTATTTAAGAATATTTCAGGTCATCTTTAAAACAAAGAGCAGTGGCCAACTGCAAGATGAGTCATTAAAAATCCACAGTAGGAGTGTGGTGAAAACCTGTGGGTAGTCCCACAGGGAAAATGGAGAACAGTGTCTACAAACTGGCATCTCAGGGTTGACCTGGGCATGTCTGCGGCTCTGTATTTGGGGCAAACAGGGAAAAGAGGATGCTTTTCTGATACTAGTTAGATGGAGGGCTGGCAGAAGTACTGACAAGTTCTT